CGCCCACCACCAGCAGCACCAGTACCCCAGAGACAACGACGTCTGTTCCTACCACATCAACACCAACTTTGACTACTACAGGCACAACCAACACACCAGCACCAGGTACAGTAATCACCAAACACCCGCCACCTCCAACTACATTATCACAAGGTAATTCTCTGTCTGTGTTGCCATTTTCTACGTTGCTATGGGAGAAATCAAGCTTTATTGGTGGCTTTATGTGTGTCTGAATTTTTGTACTCTGAAGAAGTGTAGTTGTTTTATTTTTCCAAAAAGTAATCATAGAATGATAGAATAGTTTGGATTGGAATGGATGTTTTTAAAGACCTTTTAGTCCAAGCTCCCTGGTATGGGCAAGGACATCTTTCACTGCCTCAGGTTGCTCAGAGCCCCGTTCAACCTGACCTTAAACACTTCCAGTGAGTGGGCATGCACAGCTTCTGTGGGAAGCCTGTTCCTGTGTCTCACCACCCTCATCATAAGAAATTTTACATCGAAAAGGTTTCAGAGCACACGTTGCCCCTTGCTATGAACCAGGGCTGTAGGCAGCTGTGTTCTTCCAGCGTTTGCATGAGCCTTGTTGTGCAGCTGCCCCCATGCTACTGGGAAGCCAGTTGATGTTTTTCAGCAGCGTGAGACACCCTAACATCCCAGTGAATCTGCCTCTGTGACAGTACACCATCTCTTCCTATATTTCCTTATGAACATGAAGGAGTTTTCCTCTCCTCACACAAGTGTGAATGAATTTTAGTTGAAGGATTGTCCTCTTATTATGTACATACTGCTTCCCGATCTACCATGTGTCTGTTGCATCATGCTGTAAAAGCACAGATGGCTCTGAGACTGGCCTCTCAGTTTTGTGAACAATTTATCAAATGCTAATTAAAAACTATTGGAAAGCAGCTTGTATTAAGGCCCATAATGAAAACCGGCTTAGTTGTGTGAGAAGAAAAAAGCAGAAAAGTGAATTTGTCTTTCCTAGCATGCCAAAATAACTTATGGGTGAGTAGTCTTAAAGGCTTGGGTGTTCGATATGGAACACAGATTGCTCCAGCACCTGCTCCGCTTCAGCAGAATCAAGTTCCTCAGTGCATAATCAGTGCTGGTATGAACATGCCACGTGAAGGAGCACAGGGGCCAGTGGTCTATCCACAGTGTATAGCATGACAGCAAAACAGGATTGACCAAAGAGTTCACTGATCAGCTCAATGGGTTGAGGACTGGGTTTAGGACTGCTGAGCTCTTCTCTGCAGTATGGAGTTTTAACATTACAGACAGCTGTTCCATCTGACATCCATCATTGATAAAGTGTTTACATCAATGTCTCCCATGGAAAATGTAGGAGATTTTTTAAAATAATCCCTGTTATGCAAAAGACATTAATGACAGTGTTTCTGCTTTATTCTATGTAAATATCCGATGCTTAGGTTTGTTTTTGTTGAATTTCATTTGCTTATTAAAAAAAAATGAAGCTAATAACAAAAGCAATTTCTCTACTTAAAATAAAACACTCTGTTTTCTCCCTGTGTTAAAGCGAGTGGAACAACTGAGTCGGAAACAACAATAACCATCTCTGGAGTCACTGAAACAGGATTGACCACCAAAACCACTACCTTGGCCCCCACTCCCTCCACATCCACTCCCCACAGCACCACGATAGTAACAGAGACATCTAGCCACGAGACCACTACCACCACAACTGGGAGCCCTCCAACACCACCACCTACCTCCACCGTCAGCACCACAACCTCAAGACCAACTTCCCCAACACCTACAGCCAGCACTACTGTACCACCACCATCAGTATCAACAAGCACAGTGCCGGTCACCACATCTGGTACCACTCCAACAGAATCTTTTACCACTACTTCAGGAACAACCTCTTGGAATGTTACCACAATCACTGCAACCACCACCACCCCCAGAACTGTTCCCCCTTTCTCACTGAGTACTTCTGGGACAACTGCAACATCAACTACAGTCACCACTGTAGGCAGTTCTACACACAGTACAGTTACTCCAACTACTGCTTCAAGTTCAACTACAAGTCCACAACCTGATAGAAATTGTATTATTTCACCTGATGAATCTTATTCGGTGAGTAGATTTCACGAGTTTTTTTATCATTCTGCTTTGGATGGAGCCTAGGCACATAATTTCAATGTCAGTAGCATACATTTCTGGGTACAAAAGGAAGTATCATTCCATTGTATTTCCTTCTGGTTTCGGGGGTATCAGAATGACTTCCAATGGTATTCGGTTTGATAGCTTATATGTTGCTGTTAGTTCTTCAAGGATGGTTTTAAAAAGACTTTCTTGAAGGAGTTAGATCACTGCTCAATGTTTCTCTTTATTGTAGGATAGCTGTAATGAAGAGGTAACCAAGGGCTAAGTGGTGCTTAACTATCTTTTCTGTTTCTGCTTTTGAATAGGTCCAGAGTGGGGAAAAATGTTTTGTGTGTTTACAGCGCAGCCCAACAAGAAACCACAGGGCTGTGTGAGTCAGAGTTTGGAATGAGTCATACTTGGTCACAGTCTGCTTTCAGGAGAGGACTGTGAAATCACATTCAAATGCTCATGAAATTTAACTCAAAGTTCTTAGTTTTTTGGAACCCTCCACCTCTGACATAGATAAACTAATGTCTGGTACATTTCTAAAGCCTGCTCAAAGCTTCAGTGTCTACTAACTTGCTCAGTAGGTCTGCAGGGATAAAAATTATGCGTGACTGAAAAACTGGTGGAAGATAGAAAAAATGCATACAATCACGAGTCATGCATGTAATCACCTTAGACATTACTCTGGACATAGCTGATGTTCACTGTACCTTTAGCTGTTAATCTGTTCTAGGCATTTACGGAAGGGGATTGATCATGTATTGATCACTGATATTGATCAATGTCTTTCAGTGTTGATTAGAGAGAGAGTCTAGGTAATGAGGTTAGATCAGACATCTAACTTTAAGATAGCTGGAACTAAAAAAGGCAATTCCCACTTCAGATTACCAGTTTGACTTTTCACTTCGCAGCTCTCAGTAGTGCTAGCTCATCTTGCAGGCTTTGACAGTACTGACTGCTGCACTTCCTTCCCATTTTCAGACTCCTGGTGGGGGGAAAAAAAGTCAATAAGCATATGGCATTTTAAAACTTTGCAAAAGATATTCAGGCATAACTGTTGTCAGGCTGACTGTTTCATAAGGTTTCTCTCTTTCATCCCCCTCCCCTTCTCCTTCCCAATGCAGCCAGGTGAGGATTTTTGGTTCTGTAACTGCACTAAGGCAACATGTATAGAAAACAATACAATCAAGATAGAACCTGTAATATGTGAACCACCTCCTAAACCTACATGTTCCAACGGGCTTTCTCCTGTGCCAGTCACTGATGAGAATGGATGCTGTTGGCACTGGGAGTGTGATTGTAAGTATATATTTTCTTGAATATTTTATCACCTGTGTCGACAATACTAGCGTCAAGAACAACAATATTTATCAGGGGACAAATATTGCACAAGGCTGTGACCCTCAGACATCTAGTTTGGTCTGTTTGGAGTGCTTAATTGATTCTTTGTAGCTAATTGGGGGCTTCTACTTGATTTGCCATCATTTCTCCATTACTGTTGGGTTAGTAGAATAAAATGGTCTCCCAAGGCAGGATTTAAGTGTTCAGCTGCAGACGTCTATACGCTATATGCCTACATATAAGTTACTTGTTCAGAGTATTGGTAGAAGTGTATCTAGGGCGCAATTAATCTGATTCTCATTTGTCTGTCAGAAGTAATCAGTTGAACTGTGCCCTGAAAGTGTCTCTTTTATAGATGAGTTCTAGGTAATGAGCTCATGCATTTACATATACACTTTAAAAATCTGAGTGCTTAAGGTTCAATGAGATGAATCCCACACCTACAGGTTTTTTATTGGTAGTCTGACCTGATTCTGTACGTAGCCATAAGGAGCTAACCTAGATGCATGTTTTTGTAGGCTACTGCACTGGCTGGGGAGACCCACATTACAACACTTTTGACGGCCTGTACTACAGCTATCAAGGGAATTGTACCTACATCCTTGTGGAAGAGATTAATGAGACAGTTGACAACTTTGGTATCTACATTGATAACTACCATTGTGAAGCAGAAGACGGAGTCTCCTGTCCTCGAACACTCATTGTGAGACACGAGACTCAGGAAGTCCGCATAGCAACAGTCGAAATGAATACTTTCCATGTGGAGGTATTGGGGAATATTACCTTTGATTTCTTTATTAAAATATTAATACAGCATCAACCTGATAATTATATTCACAATGTTAGGGGAAAAAAAATTACAAAGAGTCTGTGTTTTAGATTTAATACCATTTTGAATTATAAAATAGGACTGCTTTGAAGGACTGCTTTTTTGACTCTGAATATGGGTAAGAATTTCTACAACTTCTTCCCTTTTTTTTCTCTCAAATATTTGCAGTGCCTTATCTCTCCTAATACACAAAGGTGGACAAATTGCTAAGAGTTAAGGATATAAAATAAAAACATTTATAATTAATGTCACAAAGTAAAAGGAGGATACAACATAAAGTACACATAAAAAGTACTGGGCTTAAGCATTTTTACAAAGCACCATTACTATCTTTGATTGATTCCACTTTTTAAATTTTTCAGTGTACAGGCTCTTACATATTTATTGCATTGATAAACAAGATGCTCCAGCTTTGGGGCTTCAAAACTGGGGGAGGAGTGTTTGCTTTTAGGTGTTTGTGGGGTTTATTTGGTTTATTTTTATACATTACTGTGTGGGAATATTACATGTTAGGTTGCAGTGTATTGTTGAAAATTTACAATATCTAGACCTCTTTTTTTTTCTCCAAAGCAAGAAAATCTACCATTGCTGAGCAAAAGTGGTAGTGTTAGTTCAGTAGGTATATCATGGCTACTGTATTTCAGTAAATAATACAGATTTTGGCTTATTTCTTTCAATTAATTTTTTTCTACAACCATGTTCCCTTTATACCAAGAAAGTTAAAGCTGTGTGCATTAGGAATTTAGGAAAATTTTATATTGCACTTTCATGAGGTGTTCTCAATGCCATAGTCACTCTAATAAATCTGTTGAGTGTTAGAATTTAGCTGGTTTAAATTCAGAATTTTAGCCTAGTGTTTTAGTGGCTGGTAGACCTTTTATTTGTCTCAAGGGAGGAAGGTTCAACTTTCCAGTGAAATAAAAGAAAACACAGGGACAATTGTTACAAACTAAAAGCACATTATTTGCCTTTACATTCTATCCCCAATGCAAAGTAATGAATAGTCAATTGTTTTCTAAAGTCAAACTAAATATATGTCTCTTTTCTGTTTTCTTTTATTTATTAGGTGACAGTAAACAAACAGGCAGTGGCTTTGCCTTATAAAAAATTTGGCTTGAGTGTCTATGAGTCAGGCATAAATCGTGTAGTGGAAATTCCTGAACTAAAAGTGAATGTGACCTACAATGGCTTGTCCTTTTCGATCAGAATGCCCTACAGCCGGTTTGGCAACAACACTCACGGACAGTGTGGTAAGGCATATTCTTGTAATTTTTGTACTCTCATAAAACTGTGAACAGGTAAATGATATCCGTGCCACAAAGTTGAATGGAATTTGGTAACAAACCTGTTAGTGAATTCTTTCTCCCCTTACCAATTTTAGGTATTTGCAATAACAACCAGACAGATGACTGCATGTTGCCAAATGGTGACATTGACTGTGAAACCATGGCAGATCATTGGCAAGTTGTTGATCCCTCCAAACCACAGTGCTCTCCAGGCCTAAGTCCTACAAAAACACCCCCGGTGATGCCTTGCAAAGAATCAGCCATCTGCAAGCTTCTTTTGGGAAGGTAGACATTTATTTGGGTTTTACAAGCCTTTGATCTTCAAATTAAGTGGCAATTTTAGGATTTGTTTCTCAATAAATGTGTTTCTAAGTATTGCTCCATTTCCTGTAGCTTTGTGGGTTGCTTCCATTCATTTTACTGTTTCTAGATGTCCTTCTTTGTTGACAGTTTGCTTCCAGCCCTCAGGCTGCTGCATTGATCTTTCTTGACGTTCTCATGTTCTTCTGTGCTCTTGTCCCTCCACTGTCCTATGCTCTTGCCTTTTCCCACACTCACATAGCAGAAAACAGAGTCCAACAGAGTCCAACTGAAAACAGAGATCTTAATTTTTAGAATGTCATGTCAGAATAAGAAAAAAAAATGAAACAATCTCTCTAGAAAAGTAGTTCATTCCATAATATTCACGTAGCTCCTGGACAGAAGATATTGGTGTCTGAGAGTTTTGTGGGTGGGGGGTGAATACTTTAAGATACGTTGAAAGGTTACAATCTAGATAAGTGCTCTTAGTAAAAACCTCTCAGTAACAGTCCTTGTTCACATCTCCGTAAGCACCACTGTTACCACATTATGACATATTAAACACATTGAAGAATTCGTGGGAAACATGAGAAATGTTTCTGTTTCTAGTGTGTTTGAGCCATGCCATGGCTTTGTCCGGCCTGACAAATACTATGCAGCCTGCATTTTTGATAGCTGTGCACTTCCCGAATCAGACCTGGAATGCTCAAGTCTGCAGATCTATGCTACCACCTGTGCCGACCAAGGTGTCTGCATCGACTGGAGGAGTCATACCAATGGTGTTTGCTGTAAGTATTTGGCCATTCATCTTGAATTCTGAGAGAAGCTTACTGGTAACATTTTTAACAATGGAAATGATAAATGAGCCTGCAAAAATAGACATGCATTGACTGTTCCAGAAAGATCTGTATCAGTAGATACTTTTTTGTACACAGTCAGTTTTGTGTTTTGCAGGTGTCAGCAGATCACTCTGTGTTTAGTGGCATCTGCATTCATTTTCAGCTGTAGTAAGGACAGAATACGCTGCCCTTTGAGAACTTGTACAAAAGAGACCAAGATTATGAAAAAAATTGTAATCAAGATGTAGGCTCTTGGCTTCATCTCCTTAATGTGAAGTATAGTGCTATATCTCTATGGATAAACTGCATACAATAATTCCATTCAGAGACATCAGTCTGATATCTGTTGTTTTTTTTTTTCTTTCTTTCTCTTTGCTTCTCAAGATTGTAAAAGATACATAGGGAAAGGAGTAGTCAGTGTTTAATTTCTTGGTATAAGGTCATGGGGCTTTTATATGATATTGTTACTGAGCTCTTCCTCCTTTTTATTCTCCCATTCCAGCTTATAAATGCCCCATCAACAAAGAATACAGAGCATGTGGTCCGATTAGAGAGATAACCTGCAAATCAAGGTAAATAATTCCTTCCCTGTTACTTATAGCTCATACAACTGGTCAGTCATATCTAATGCATAGGTGGATGAGAGAAATCAACCTCCTGTCGTGTCTTGAATTGACTGTCAGATTTGGTACCACTGTTCTCTTGGTCCTAAATGTGGGTTCTGTACTGTTTGGGTTGTTTGGCTATGCCAAAGATGAATACTGACGGTCCCTAAATCACAAATGTGCAGATCATTTGCCACTGTATCTTCAGTGAAGGTTATTTGGCATAATCTTCTTCTGCATGCCTATCACAATAATAGTGTTCCTCTGGACATTTTGTCTTGTACAGTGAACAAAATGCAACTTCAGCTCAACAAGTGGAAGGCTGTTTCTGTCCTAAGGGAACAATGCTGTATGACTACGGTGTGGACGTCTGTGTGAAAACCTGCGGTGAGTTTTACTGCTCCACTTGGATGCACGTTTGTCTCTTCTTTGTTGTTTCCTTCTCATGTATGCAACATAGACCTGACTGTATGTATTCATACAACATACAGTAGAGGTGTCTACTGTTACATGAGTGGTAATGGAAATTTATTTTGATATTTTCACAGGCTGTGTTGGAGTGGATAACATACCAAGAGAGGTATGCTGCCATATACTTTTGTGTTTCAAGTAGCAGCTGGGGGTAGAGAGAGGAGGGGGGGTCTCCACTGGTGTAGTCTTGTTTTGTGGTCTCCCAACTTTTCATTCCTGTTTTTATTTCTGTTCTTTTTAATTATTAACCGTGCAATCACTCTGTTTTCTTTAATGACAGTTTGGAGAGAAGTTTACACTAGACTGTCAGGACTGTATTTGCCTGGAAGGTGGAAATGGCATTGTATGTCAGCAGCATGAGTGTGCCAAACAAAATAAGATCCGTTGTGATGGAGAAGGCTTCTATGAGGTCCGTGAAGTCAATTCTGAAGACTCCTGCTGCCCCATTGTCACCTGCAGTGAGTTTATACTTTTTTTTTTAGTATTTCTGTACCTTTTAGGAATAGAAAGGACAAAAGACCTGAACTAGTTTAGCACCAAAGACCTGTGGCAGGGAGTCACAAAACAGTAACTTTCCTCATGCTTTTTAAAATCACCTTGCCCAGTGTTAGGGAAAATACATTTTAATATTGCAATGACCCAGCATAACTACATTTCGAATTACGGGACTCAGCATAACTGAATCTATAGTTCTTGAGTTCAGGACCGCATTTTATTCAAGTAAAATGCAGATAGATTATGGAATTCTATGTGAATTTTCATTTTGCAGCAGTTGCCTACAACCTTGGAGAGGGTAACAGTTGTCCACTACTTCTCTGCAAAGAATTGGGGGACTTTATGAACACTTGGTAATTACATAGTAGAAGAAGTTTCACAAACGAGTGCAGTCCCCAATCCAGTGCCTGGATTCACTAGGGAAAATGTGTTCTCTTTCTGCAATTTGTTTCTTCAGAAAGGATCTGGACTGTTTCCTAGCAATGGAAAGTCTGTCCTAAATTCTTTGATAGAGGCTTATTTCTAGTAGCCTTGATGTAGTGTACTTTCTGGCTTATTCCTTTTTTTTCAGAATGCAATACAAGCTTGTGCTCAGCTAAAGCCCCCAAGTGTACACTGGGATTTGAAGTTCATTCTTACATTCCCAGTGGTCAGTGCTGTCCTGTGTACGAGTGTGGTAAGTCCCTCGGAAATATATTACAATGCTTAGCATTATGTATGACATAATTTAGCCTCACACTTAGTAAGACTGTATGCAATAGACTGTTGAAAGAGGCAATAAACACAGATCCTACAGATTGGTTACTATTAGCATTAGTTACTACTGCTATGGTTATGACAAACAACTACTAAATCAGACAGAGCTTAGGTAGCTCAAGATCAATCTTCCTGCTTCTAAGTACGTTTAACAACAGCTACAGAATCAACTGGGGTTGTGGTCTCAGCTTAATCTAGCAAAATGTCCCTGTAAGCATCCCCAACAGAGGACAGCTTTACAAAGTCTGCTTTGTTCTTGGTAACTGGAATAAGGAATTACTCGTACCTGTTAAGTGGACATTCCTGGCTGTGAACTGGACTGTGTATATTGGGTCAAATCTTCCTCCATTTTGCACATGCAGTGTTTGTTTTTGTATTTTACATATGTCATATCTGCTACCAGAAATGGGGAATAACCAATATATTTGACGGTATGTGTTCTGATTCATTGTGGAAGAAATTATTTTGACTAGAGTGGGGTGAAGACTTTTTTTTTTCTCCTTTCCCCATGTAACCACCTAACTGCTTGCTTGTTAACAGTTCCCAAGAGGGTTTGTGTACACCAGAATGCTGAGTTCTTGGTAAGTTCCTTTTTCAACAGTCTTCTGAAAATGCTTAGAAGACCAGTTAGTGTACTTTATCAGAAGTGCTATGAGGAGGTTTATCTAGTACAATCAATATTTTAGAAATTTTCAAATTCCTGTCAGGAGTGCATCAATTTCACCAAGAATAAATCTTTTCTGAAAAGGTTGCTGTGTATGAAGGAGACTGGAGAGTTGTTTGTATGGCAATATTAGACAGAGATTTGAGTTTAGAGTTAAGCGTGCACGCATTTTAAAAAGTCCGTCCACATTTACTGTCAGCACTTTATTGCAGTTTAAGACTCTGCTTTCAAAACTGAAAAGATTCTTGTAAACAGCCTTAGATTCCTCATAAATTCTGTTGGATCTAGTAATTGTTTTATTGCAGATATTTGTATGACACCTGTCCTTTTAATATGAGTTTATCATTGCTCTATGACTTCAATAAAGACACACTTTGAATTAAATTCAGTATTTAAAGTGTTGTCTGCATAAGTGGCTAGCCAAATAGCTATCCAGTAGTGTTTATGATTGTTTCCTTTTCCATTGCTTGGTTTATAGACTTTTTGGAAATTAGGAAAAGTCTGTCACAGATGTCATATCTCATTACTATATGAACTTTTTTTTCTTAAAATTTGTAGCCTGATTCCCCAGTCTTTGTTGATAAGTGTCAGAATTGTTTCTGCACTAACGAAGTTAATGTCAGCACTCAACTGAATATCATCTCATGTGAACATATTCCATGCAGCACATATTGTGAACCAGTAAGTGACAAAACAAATTTTAAAACCCCTCAAATACCCATGTGTATGAAAAACAGTTTGATCAATGAGTGGTACAAGCAAAGAATAGGGAGCAGAAATCCAGAGTCCAACTCTAGCTCAACTGTCCTTGAATAATCTATTGTGTGAAGCTTGACTGTGTGACTTAGAGTATTCAGTTCACATTGGGAAGATTAGCTGGGAAATTTCTGCAGAGCACTTAATGGAGTTATATTTAATTATTAGGCATATTTATTAGAGTGCTTTAATGTATTCCATCTATAGCCTGCTTTTATTACTTGTATTTCGTTGGGTTGGAACACAGAAAGGCACAAATCTAGAGTGCACTTTGAAACACAATAAATGAACGGGTTAGGATGATTTCATTTATTTCTCAAAAATGCATCTATCATAGTGCTTTCATTTTTAATTCATTTTAATTTCTAGGGATATGAACGTCAACAAGTGAAAGGTGAATGTTGTGGAGCATGTGTTCAGACTAAGTGTGTTGTACATCCAGCAAATAGTTCTGACCTCATCTTGAAGGTAAGTATGCACTACATCTTAGGTCTGTACCAAATGTGTGAAGTTCTCCCTTTCTGAGAGGGAGCATCTTGTCAAAGATAAGGCTTAGTCTAAGTTTGCACCTGAAAGGCCAGAGGCTCACCTAAAACAAAGCCAATCTACAATTTTCTGGCCTGAAGGAAGGACTCAGGAAATAAAATTTCCTGTAAGGCTCTTCCAAAACCTTTGGAAGGGTTTTTCTTGAGGTGTCTGGAAGCATGGGCTTTTCTATATTGATTTCTGTGTACTGAAAAACACTAGTAAAGCCTGCGTATGAAACAGTTTTATTGCCTCTGTCAGGTGAAAGTTTAGGATTATTCTTAGTTACCATATAACAGTTTGGCTTTCCCTAGACAAATCCATTGGAATGGGTGATTTTTTAATAACTCTAATGTACTTTACATAAGCTAGAGGGATTTTTCTTTTCCAAAGGAAATGCCATGTGAAACTGAAGATTGTCTCCACACGTGGCTTACTGCAATATATATCTGTATCCAAAATGGCTGTTAACCTAAACGTCATTGACTGGGAAAAAAGAGAAAAGTCGTTGTCGAAGGATAGGAAAATTTCTGTCTGAGGTCCCCTCACCTTCCCTTATTACATTTTGTATTTTGCTTGCAGCCTGGAGAGTTTAGAAACGATCCTTACAACAACTGCACCGTTTATAGCTGTGTAAAGATCCACAACCAGCTCATCTCTTCCACGTCTGAGATTACCTGCCCAGCATTCAATGAGGAGAGCTGCAAACCTGTAAGTAAATATGGAAAACTTCCCCTCTACTCAGTGCATAGATTACTTCAGTTTAGTTCAGCCACCCAACTAGCAACAAAAATCAAATTAATCTCTGATGACCTTTCACCAAAGTTTTTCAGTCCAAAGGGCAAAAGTTTCTGCTACATTCATGCGTAGACCATCTATAGAGTGTATAAAATAAGGTATCTGGGGAAGGGTTCAAGGCTTATAACTGGCACCTGTCTTTCATCAGCCAAAACACTGCTCAGCATTGAGATACAAAGTCCTCTCTGCCTGCTTTGTGCGGGGTCTTGTCGGAACAAGAACCTTGTTTTCTTGAATGTTGCAGAAATGTAAGCAGTTTAGTCAGTAGGCTGCCAGGAACACCATGCATGACCCTCATTCAAATGTATCAGTCTCTGAGAAAACATTTTTTGGAACTGTTTCTCAGGAAAAATTGCATGATGTTAACCATAGACTTCCTTCAAAGCATTATCTTTATTTCCACAAACCTTTGTAAACTGATAGATTTCAAATCTGGAAGAGACCATTATCTTTGTTTATTCAGATCAATGCTACAGTTTTCACTGGTTGTTTCCAGCCATTGGGGAGTTGCTCTCCTCAGTTATTGGCCTAGAAGCCTCTTTAATACAAGGAAAGAAAATAATATTATTTTTTTGGTTTCTTTGTTCTTTTAGGGAACTATTACATTGTTACCCAACGGTTGTTGCAAAACCTGTAAGTATGCCAGTGTACCTGAATCAATAATGCAGAGAATGAATTTTCTTCTTAAATCAACCCATTTTCCAGCTATAGTGGCTGATATGTTTGTATTGAAATAGATACTTTCATATGTATGTTTGTTATTCCAAGCATTCACTGTCTGATCTCTCTCGGAAAGTTTAAACTGAAGCAGAAAAACCATTAAAGACAATTCTTTGAGTGCACAAGTGAAGTCCAGAGAGTGCTGAACTGCAAGGAACTTCTGGAGCTATTTCACTGAAAGTATTTTCTGATCTTTTAGGTGTACCTCTGGATAGTCCTACGCCTTGCTCTGTCCGTCAGAGACAAGACTTTATCACCTATAAGGGCTGCCGTTCTGTGGACAGAGTTGTCCTGACTGAATGTGAAGGAACATGTGGGACCTTCTCGCTGTGAGTAAACTGATTGGACAATGAGGTTTGAATTCTGTTGGCACTGAGCTTGTTTATATAAAAGGAACAATAAATAGGTAAACTACAGAATGGTAGGAGATCTGAAACCTATCAGCTCCCCAAATCATGGCTGCAAAATCATGAAATCTGTAACTGAACAGTTGATTCATCTTAATACAAAGCAGAAAAGTGTATTAAATTGCTTTTGGATTCAGACAGCTATGATAAGGTCTATTCATCCATTAAGAGCTGGCTTGTTTGTCATTTATGTCAGACCATCTTGAGTAGAAACCATCACAAGAGAAATTCCTGTGATGGGAATGAGCCCAGAGAGCAGCCTGACCTGATGCTCATAAGCTAAAATCTGCTTCTCAGTAATTAACATCTAAAATAAAATACACATACCTCTTTTAAAGGAAGATTCAAACATGCACAATTTCTATACAGTAAAGAAACTAGAAAACAAATGTTTTAGGGGTGGTGTTAGTCAAGTAGTTTCATTGTGCATTTTTCTCTGCGATGAGAGAGTGTACAAGAAAGTGGGTAGTAGGACACCTGTCACTGAGCTATTAAAACACTGGAAAAACATCATTCTAACTCTCCACAGAAACTGTCATTTGCTGCCTATCACTGAATGTGCCGCAGGGCACCCTACATGGGAGGAAACTGATCTTTAGTCTCAGATTGAACCCCAATAAGCCAGTGGGTTTATTAGTATTTTGAAACAATACCTGATCATCTCAGAGTGTTGCTGTGGTTGCCTCTGCACACCAATGCCAGAAAAAGATAGCTCTTGACACACTTTATCACCCGAAATTGATAGATTCTGCAGGTTAGGAATGGTGCTTGGGAAGCTGCCAAACACAAGGCTGCAAAAAATGCTTTACTGTGAGATAGGAACAGAAGGAGTTGCTGCTTCCCCTTGCTGTTAACACTGCCTGGTTTAGGATATGCATTTTGATTCACATAATTCCATTGTAGCCCTTGTAGCCAATTGATGTGATGCCATTTCAGATGGCATTGTAGCCACTTGTCTATGCAGTTTGCTTAGTCAGGTCAGAGCTTTGTCCGCCGTTAATTGTTGACCTGGTGTGTTTAGCATCCATCAGCACTGGGATGGTGAGAGGAATCTAAGGAAGCTGAGCTCTTAGAACTCACTGTTCTTTCTTCACTAGGACTTTGATACCAGTTGCTTTACCAGGAAAACATTCTCAGCAATACAATGAATTTTCAAAGCATATTGTTACTGCTCTGTCAGATGAGCTTAACACTTTCATTAGCCACAACTGTAGCTCTTCTACATATTATTCCAAACTTCTCACAAGAGTTCTGTACCTAATTTCACGCTCTTCTCTGTATGCTGGTGTCTGGCACAGAGTAACAATGCTGTTTTCCGTGTTAACAGATACTCTGCTGAGGCCAATTCTATGGAGCACAGCTGTACCTGTTGCAGGGAATCAAGGACGACTGTGAGGGAAGTGGAACTGAAATGCGCCACTGGGGAATCAATTTTCCATAAGTACGTGTATGTGCAAAGCTGCAGCTGTCAAGACACTGAATGCCGCTCCTCACAATCCAGTGAGTCGCGGAGCACAGAAGAAAATGACAAGGAGAACACTCTGAACCGTATCAAGAGGGCCATCAGCTTAACATTAAAATGAACAGGAAACAAACCTAGCAGCATTCAGCTGAAAGGATTATGCACCATTCCCATCTTCCTTGACTGCTTTTGAACTTTGCTTTTCGCAGTTACTGTATCCTGTTTGTTCTCTGATTATTTTTAGCAGTCCTCTATTTATTTGTGCACAAAATAAGAACACAAATTTGTATTCTTCCAAGTGCACAGCCTTTTGGGTCCTTTTATAATCATGTTCTCTGAATGATTAAAAGCGCATTTCAAAAAACATGCGTTTTGTTCTTATTCATGTGCTGTCTTGATGAACCTGAGTTTTGAAAGAGAAGAGAATTTCTTTTTCAAGTTATAGGAAGTCAACTGACATATTTTCTAAATTCTTGAGGTATCTATTTCTGACTCCTTAAAAACCGAAATATCAGAAGGTACTGTCTGGAGGACTCAGTGCGTAAGGTGGGGAAGAATTTGGTGCTGTCTGCCAGAAGAAAGCCAAGATGAATATCGCATCATGAAGTGATTCGGATGACTCTGGGAAACTTCTAGTTCAGCGTCAGATCTCATTTTAGCGGAGCTGTGTATGTTAGAACTGTCTCAGTTCATCACAATTATATATTTTCTCTATGAAAGTAGTCCCTCAGCTGTGAGAATATGAAGTTCATCTGTAGTGCTTGAGGGATGCATAGTTAGTACTGTTGTAAGAGGTCTCCCAATTCCAACATTTGCAAAACAGATGCCTGTCTCTGAGCTAGTAATCCTAGGCTTCCTCTACAGGAAATGGAGAGAAACAGCCGTTTTTGTCATTCATTTGTCTCACAACAGAGGACATATGCGAAGGAGGTTAGCTGCATTACATTCGAAAGTGCCTGCTCGCGTGATCTTACTTCAGCTCCAGGGGAGCTGAAGATTAGCTGAGAGGTGGACATCTCTCTTGAATCGTCTGAAGTACGAGGATAATCCACACCATCTGTTGTGTATGAAGAACATTTTTGGTGTTAATTTATGTCTGTTAATCGTAGAGTCATAGAATCATAGAATCACAGAATGGTTTGGTTTTTTAAAGATCATCCAGTCCCACCCCCTGCCATGGGCAGGGACACCTCCCACTAGCCCAGGTTGCCCAAAGCCTCATCCAGCCTGGCCTTGAACCCCTCCAGGGATGGGGCATCCACAGCTTCTCTGGGCAACCTGGGCCACTGCCTCACCACCCGCACAGGAAACATTTCTTTCTAATATCTCATCTAAATCTCCCCTCTTTCAGCTTAAATCCCTTACCCCTCATCCTATCACTCCAATCCCTGATTAAGAGTCCCTCCCCATCTCTCCTGTAGTGTCTCTTTGCTGTCTAACAACTTTTGTGCTGACACACTGAAAAATTGCAAAAAACGCTTTTCTCAAAATCTGTTGACCTTCAGCTGTCTTTGAAATCTTCATTTTTGCAGTTAAATTTGACTGAAGTCAGCAAGTACCTTCTGGAGACAGAGAGATACAAGGTGTGATCAAAGACTAACTTGTTTTCTATGAAAAGGAGAAAAAATGTTCCAAGTCAGTAGTGGCATTTTGCTGCACACTGTATTTACACCGAAGACTAGAATCTCCCTTGCTTCATTTTTTTCATTTGTTCTGTAGTTTGAATGGGCTCTTTCTGTCTCTTCTAAGAGGGGTAAACTACTTCAAAAAAAGGAATTTAAAAGATCCTGTGTAAAAGTCAGTAAGACTGCAGATTTTGGCTTTGCCACTGCAGGGCAGTCTATGGCTAAGAATGAGAAATTACTTTGGACACAAAAAAAACCAAGCTGCCTCCAAAAGGGACTTTGCACTTCATCAAGTAGAGGGTTTTACCTCTGAGAAGAATGAATGCTTGTATTTCCCCACAGACACTTGTGTGCTTTTAATAAGCACTGAATAAAAAAATTATTGACGGGAATTTACACACGTGCAAAGGATGGTGTTCCTTACAGTGCTCAGGATTTTAGCATCCCCTCCAGTTTTGGTGCTGGGTCAGTGCTGCCCGTAAGCAGGCTCCCAAGCGGGTGTTGTCAGAGAATTCTTTCTTACGAGTGCTTGGCAGTTCCAGGTCAAACTGTACGTGTCAAACCTCCACCCCTTTCTGCAATCTTAGTCACCTTAGAACTTTGCAGTTCAGTTTGCACCTGTATTTCTTTAGGAACTGGATGACCACATTGAACAGATAAAACTTTTTCCAGCAGAGAAATCTACAAATAGTCTTTTTGAGAGAAAGCAAGGGGAAGAGCTCTGTGTATCTCTACAAAGAGAGTAGTTGTGGCAGTGGGCAGCACTTTTGCTCCTTCCCACAACTGTCTTGGAAGTAAATGGAGACCTGTCCTACCTAATCCCATGGAGAATTTTGTTTCTTAAGCAAGAGCTGTTGAGTGTGCAGGTCACAAGCAGAGACTCATCTGGAAAACCCAGGGGACAAACTGAAGAAGTCTCTCGCAAGGCAATGTCAGCTCTTTAGGGGCTCAGAGGAGATGGTGGAAGCTTCTGATCCCGTTGTATCCCAGGCAGGACTGACTGCAAGGGGCACTGACAGCTTCATAAAAAGCATTGGGGCTGGAAGGAAATGGGCTTGACTCCCTCTGTCCTCCAAGAATGACTCCATTCTCCAGGAATTTCCTTGTCTTCTGGAGTGTAGCAAGAAAGGAGCAGAGCCCCAGAGGAGTTCAGCTGGGTGGCGGAGTGGCTAAAACACCGTCATGTCTCCATGCCCGAGTCCTGTGTTCATTTCCTTGCAGACTTTCTGTCTAGCCTTCCACTTTCATTGGTGGCAAAGGCTTTCTTTTTGGTTTGTTTCTTTTTCTTCATCTCCAGTTACTTAGCAGGTTTAGTTTTGCCTTGAAAATGAGGAAGCCTTATTGGGAGGCAAGTGGGACTTCCAGTCACACAAGCTTTGACGGCACCAAAAGTCAGGGTCCTAGCTCTCGCTCTCCAAGAGCTGCTTGGTTTGGCCTCGCTTTGTCACGTTGTCCCTAAGCAAGAGATGAGCAGAGTTCCTCTAAGCATGGAGTTTGAACATGTCCCTGAGGCCCTCAAAGAAGTTATTGAACCTGCTTGGACATTCTGGTGAACAGAATATCATGGCTGCTTTTCCTAAGGGAAGCCAGGGCAAATCTGGGCAGGCTGAAATTCCCAACTATAGGCTGGAGCTGGGGTCACCTGTAGCATGAGCATGGCCTTGGTTGCCAGAGGTTGTGCTTTAGAGTCCTTGCCTCAGGCGCAGGCTCATCCAAGGCAGCTGGAAGCTCAAGCAAATCCTTCCCAGGCAGCTGCAGTCTTATGGGAAGCTCCTCACAGCATGGAGCTGGCTGAAGGAGACCACTGCCGGACGCTGGAGCAAACCCGAGTGGGCTGGCTGCAGCTCAGGGAGGGTGCTGTTGCCACGCAGACACGGAGCACTGCAGTTGGGGCCTCCAGTGCAGCTCTTGACACACTTGGCCACTCTAACAAGCAAAAAGAAAAAGCTCATCATGGGCCATTTGGGAGGGATGCACACAAGTATTCCCTTAAATGCACCCTCAGCCTTCCTGGTGGTAGGTTACCTGCTTCCCTGGAAGCAAGGCAATTGTGGCGTGCACCTTATCAGTGAGAGCACGTGGGTTTCACTCCCAGTTGTAGTCTTCTCCAAGGTACTTGAAGTTTAGACAGTTTCTTCCTAATTACCTGGAGATGCACTGGAAACTCAATGTTGTTCTTATGACTTCACAGTGATAGAGTGAGAACTTTCACCTGGAGTTAAAAAGGAGTTCTCAGAAGCTCTGCTGATAAAATGAGCACCATTGTTTTATGAACCGTTACTGGACAAGTGTTTTGAGAACATCAGGGGCAGAAAGGAAAACGCTTGTTAGCAATATGGAGAAATCACTGCTTCGGTCTGAGGTGAGGCAAATAGGATTCAGAAAGGGGAGAAAAGCCACACACAAACCAAGAAGGACCCTCTCCAAAATAACACAAGGTAGGGATTTCTGATCTAATAACTGCCTTGTTTAGTGATGTAACTCTGTGTTGTAATGTTGTCATTTTTTGCTGTAGGAGAGGAAGCGCAAAATAGAATTTTCGGTAAGTTTACTGTTGGACAGTAGTTTGTTAAACCACACTTCACTGAACTAAGCACATGCAACTCTGCACATAAGCCCCAGTGAAAGGACTTCAAGCAAAGGCAAAGCCCTGAGTAAATAATCATGTAGCTCCTGTGCTTGTTATACACTGTTTGAACTTGTGCAGCAAAGCAAACTCAGATACTGGGAAAAGGGGCAGAAATAGACTTACAAACTCTAAGCTCATAGGAAAGAAAACTCTAGTGAACCTTAGGTACCACAAAAACTGAAATACGTTTAAATAACTGTAACACTGATATGCAGTTTCTGTATTTTAAGGCAAAAAATATCTTCAAGTTAAGCAGCCCTCTTTGTAGGCCAAATTTTCTAATTTAACTCAACCTTTTCAGGTTACCACAAACAACTATATTCTTAACTGGCAGCTTCCCAGACTAACTCCCAGCCAAGCTACCTAAGCCATATTCCCATCGTTACTGTAGGAAATCCTGCAAGTTCTTTTTCAGCATCACCCTTGTAAAATCTGACCTGTTCAAACTGGATTGCCTTCCAGTTTTTCAGCAATCATATGTAAAATGCTTGAATTCCTTTCACAAACTTGTCTCTAGAACAGTGAAAAATGCCACTGTAATTTTTGCCTGATTCCAAGACTTTGACAAAACTCACCAAACATTGCAGAACTCAGAACGTGTTTTTGATATTGCTTCAGTGCAACAGCTTCCATATCAGAATGTCTTTCTCTTGCAGAGTGGTTTGAAGATAGAAAGCACTTTATGTGGCCTTTTGTTGTGCTTTTGGTTAGTCTCCTCTCCACATTTGTCCAAGAAATGGGTTCTCCCAACTGCCATTGAGCTTCCTTAATTTCAGGAAGTCATGGATCTTCTGGACTATCTCTGGATAGTCACTTGAATTTAAAAGAAAATCAGGATTCAGCCACCTGCAAAGCTACTTTGGTTTTAGTGGCTACAGCATTCAAGGCAAGGCAAGCTTTGAAACTTGGGTGACACAGAAAAGTTAGCTGCTTGCTGCGCAATATCACTGTTCATGTTGGAAGGATCACAACCTCATGAGTCCATTAGAAATGTTCTGACAGAATTTTACATCAGGTACTTAATAGGGACATAGTGTAAGTCCACTTTATCAAAAACCAGGCCAAGGTTGCTTAGCTTCTCACCTTGACCTGTTCTCTGCCCCACCTATCTGGCTTTCGTTTGGCTTGCAGTAACTTCAGTCATGGTGGACATGGTTACTGGGTGTGCAATTTCATGTAATTTCAGGGTTATACAGACTTATTTTAAGTATACGGCAGCCTCTTGTGAATTGTCTTGGCATCCGTGAAATAAGAAATTGCTTTTAAAAACAGGAGTGGAATCTGCTCTAGCCTGAAATCCATGAAGCTCTAATTCTTAAAGCAGAATCTTCATATCCTTCCCCATACAGGGCCCTGTGTTCCCTTAGTTCTGCTACTGCATATTTTTCACCAGGAAGGCTGTTTAAAGAAAAATCTTTCAAGTAGAAAAAACTCAAAGGCCCGACCTCCTGATGAGAGGACTTTCTATGCAGGGAGACTTTCTTATGTGAGGAAGTGCCAATAGGTCAATGAGACCTGTGTGCACAAACACCAACCAGCCGTGTCATTGCTCCTTGTATGTGGATTTTGAAAGATCTACATCTCCCTAAAAAAAAAAAAAAAACCCACAACAAAAACCAACAAAAACAAACAGACAGAAAAGAGCAGCTGAACTGATTCTTTGCAAACAGGAGTAACTCATGCCCTTGATTAGTTCAGGAAAAGTAAACGAACCCTAAGACAAGATGAGAGGTTATGATTTGTCCTTAGTCTTACTTTTATCAATGATGTACCTATCGAAGCTCTTCTTGTTGCCCTTGACATCCCTGGCCAGATTTAATTCTATCAGGGCTTTAGTTTTCCTAACCTGGTCCCTGACTGCTCAGACAAGTTCTCTGAATTCTTCACAGGCTACCTGTCCTTGCTTCCACCCTCTGCAGGCTTCCTTTTTGTGTTTGAGTTTGTCCAGGAGTTCCTTGTTCATCCATGCAGGTCTCCTGGTGTTTTTGCTTGCCTTCCTCTTTGTTGGGATGCATCACTCCTGAGATTGGAGGAGATGATCCTTGAATATTAACCAGCTTTTTTGGGCTCCTCTTCCCTCCAAGGCTTTATCCCATGGGACTCTTCCAAGCAGATCCCTGAAGAGGCCAAAGTCTGCTCTCCCAAAGTCCGGGGTTTTGAGCTTGCTGTGTGCCCTCCTCACTGCCCTGAGGATCTTGAACTCCACCATTTCATGGTCACTGCAGCCAAGGCTGCTCTTGAGCTTCACATTCCCCACCAGCCCTTTGCTGGTGAGAACAAGGTCCAGCATTGCACCCCTCCTTGTTGGCTCCTCTATCATTTGAAGAAGGAAGTGATCATCAACGTATTCCAGGAACCTCCTGGCCTGCTTGTGCCCTGCTGTGTTGTCCCTCCAACAGGTATCAGGGTGGTTGAAGTCCCCCATGAGGAGCAGGGCCTGTGAGCGCGAGGCTCCTCCTATCTGTCTATAGAGGATCTCATCTGCTCAGCCTTCCTGGTTGGGTGGCCTGTAGCACCACTATAATGTCACCTGTCCCTGCCCTCCATTTAATCCTGACCCATAAGCACCACAATCCTGAGCCATAAGTGTTTTCCTAGCTAACATTACCTTGTTAATAAAGTACACAGTATTTCTCTAGAGTTATTATCTAGACAGTGCTTGTAAACCACTGTTTTATAGTGGATTCACATTTTAAGAAGCAATATCAGCTTTGCTTGAAATGAACTGGAATATTAGAGGATTTCCAGGGTGAACCCCACCAGTGCTTGGACTGCCCCAGGATGGTGTGTTACACAAGTCTTGGTATCCTTAGCGCTTTACAGTACGTACGGGATCACCTTTTGACTGAAGGGTGTGATACAAATGCAACTGCCAGCTTCAGCAGCGTGGCTGGCTGTGCATGGCATTAATCCACCAGATGCCCCCAGTCTGAGTGCCTCTTTACCAGGTTTGTGTCAAAACGTGTGAGATGTGAGTCACTGGTGTGTTACGTCAGCTTCATGATGGTTTATCTCCAGTGAGTCAGTGGCGATAAAGAAGCTGGGTTAATATTTGCCTGTTATATTTACTAAAATCACATACCCTTTAATAGCAAATGATCCATGAAATGGGCTGTACAGGGGCCAAGAGGAACTGTTCTTCTTGCTGGTACAGCTGCAGCAGAGTGAAGGCCCCTTATGCCGCAGGGCCCAATAAAGGGAAGAGTTATTAATCCCAGTATGTCACTGCAGGGGGAATAGTTAGAACTTGCGTCCTTGCAATAGCAATGATTTGGTGGTAAGTGATCAACATATTCACCAGCTCCCTGTCAGTCTTCATTTCCTTCTGAACAGCTAACACATATTTTTTTTCTGAAAACCTCAGTGTTGCCATACTTGAATATAAAAACTTCATTTGAATGCAAATATCCTTCCCCTGTCAGTAGCCCTGAAATCATTGCAGGGGATTGGAGCATCCAGTGATTCCTAAGGCGTGTAGCCAGCACTCTGCAGAGAAGACAGAAGCAGCAGCTCTGATTAGTCACTGACAGGAACTCTGCTTCCCAAGAAATGGCAAAGGAATGACAAAAATGACAGAGCAGACAAGTAGAGGTAAGAAAATTACTAGGTTTAGCTGCAAGAGGACTGGGTTTCCTCTTTTTCTTAGTAGCAAGAGATGTGCTCTTGCTTTTCTCAGATCACAGATGGCAAATACGACTTTTTCTGCATAAGTGAATGGTGGTTTGATTAATTATTTGTTTTATTCGGTCTGTTCCTTGGACACTGTTTTCACATGTGTTGTTCATGTTTTTCCCAGGCCCCTAAGTGCTAAGTGGGGCTTGCAGGGGGAAATCATGCCTCAGGCTCATCCCTTCTGCCCACCCTGGCATGCCCCCAAACCCCCAAACGTGTAAAAGACCCAGGGCTGGGAGTTGCAGTGGTCAGCCTCACCGTGTCTTTGTCATCTAAGGACTACTCCAACGTGAAGGCTATCTTTGGCAAGTAGCTCATATGTGGTTCCTGCTCCTTTTGTGATGCCTTCTGGGAATAAAGAGGTTTTTTTCCTAGGGTCAGGAATCATACTCATACATTTCTTTCTGCACTCCTACAATATGAAGGAAATAGGTGCCCTGATAGCCTGGGTGGGAATGGGAGAGGCAGAGGACCATGATTTAAAAAAAAAATAACTCTATCTCAGCAGAGGTCTGCATTGGAATTTTGACACTAGCTTTGATTTGGGAAAATTAATAGGTTTCAGCTTTCCATCAGTATCCTCAACTAAGCTCTCTTTGTCAGGGTCTGTGTGCTTTTTCTCCTGGGCTTCACGGCCATTCCCCGCACCTCCCATTAACACTGTTCTGTGGCCTGAATGAGACCTCAGTTTTAAAGTTACCATGGGAATCTGCTGAATTTGACTATCGCCCTGTCATATATTTCAGATCATCCTCATACCTACAATGTCATATTCTTGTGGTTGGGTTTATCTACTGGCTATTCTGCTGGTTTGCCTTGTAACTATTTGGATGGAGATCAGCAGGGAAGATGTGTTGTGATTAAAAAGCAAAGCAGGAGAAGCCTATTCCATCCCCGGTGCTGTAAAGTCTGTTTGTTCTGTATTCCAGCCAAAATGGCAGGGCTTCAAGAACAGACTTTACCTTCCAGTAGTGCCCTGCCTGGAGTGTGACTGACAATGGAATTAATGGGGCACGGACAGTGGGAAAGGGGTAACGTGAACTCATGTTTCATGTGTTGCACAATGATCTTGCCCGCTAGCGCAGGGTTTTCTTAAGAGCACCAGCAGCAGCAAATCTTCAGCTGGCAGACGTTTGCACCTGCAGTTCTGTAAGCCAACCAGTAAGCAGGGGGAGTAGCTGGAGGAAGCAGTGGGCCAGCTTCAGGATACTTAACTTTGTAGATGCTGGAAAGCTTGGTAAAGCAGTGAGCACAACTCAGTTCTCAAGGATCAACCAGATAAAATGCACATTCCCCAGTGAGTGAGTGCATGGACAGACTCTACCTGGGGACGTGCAATAAGAGTGCAACCTATGTCCACTTTAAACTGGATTTGTGTCCACTTACTGGTGCCGATCCTTCTGGCACTAGTATATTCCCAAAGTGGGGGAAGGTCTGTTACTCGTGTTTGATTTGCTGGGACAAGGTGAGAGGCTTCCTCTGGGTCAGAGGCAGTTCGCCTCTGATAAGGTGAAGAAATGTTAGGTCAGCTTGTGCCAACAGAGCAAGTAAACCTCTAAGAGAAACCCTAAAATTACTGACATCAGACATCAGTGAGAGGATGTCTAAGAACTGTCCTACAGCAGAATCAGCTCATGACTGAGTCCTCTGGATTTTTTGTGGGTTATGTGATAGGGTATTGAAGTGCTCTGACAGCACCAAAGGACCCTTTTGATCAGCGTAATTTAGGAGGGGAAGGAATGAATTGTGGTCTGCATTTTGGTGGGACTTCGGCACTTCTCCCTTAAGCTTTTTGGAGTTTCCCGTGCCTGCCTGGTACAGCTAAATCCTATTTGTGCTGTAGAAGTGAGAAGTTTGCACTTTGTGG